CATTTCCTAACAAATGGGGCAATGTCATTCTTTCTGATGGAGGCATAGAATTCCATTGTGTATATATACCACATTTTCTTGATCCATTCATCTACTGAGTGGCATCTGGGTTGGTTACAGATCTTAGCTATGGTAAATAATGCTGCAATAAACATAGTTGTGCTGGTAGCTTTAGTGTGGTCTTCCTTGTAAACATTTGGGTAAATGCCCAAGAGTGGGACTGCTGGGTCATAGGGGAGTTCTATGTGAAGTCTTTTGAGGAACCTCCATACTGCTTTCCAAAGTGGTTGAACAAGTTTACATTCCCACCAGAAAGAGTTGTTTCTTAATAAAATATTTATATTTTTCTAAAAATGATTGGTATAATTTGTACTTAATGATATAGAATGTGTTTGTTGATAAAATGTACTACAAAGGAAATATGGTTATGTGTATATTTGTGTGAAAAACATTCTGGTAAGACATTATATCTATGGCACCTCAGTTTATTAGAAGTCGTAATTAATCATTAAAATAAGCAATTATAGAATTAACTATGCATTTCTTTTCTCATTATCCATTAGAGAAATTTTCAAACTCCAGACTCAATAATTCTATCATAGTCACAGAAATTATTTTCTCTGCAGTACTTAAACTAGTTTTCTACATTGTAATAATTGTTCCTTAATTATTGATTTCCCATATGAATGAATTTTTATGACTGTGGCTGAATTTCTTCCTTTTAGTTGATTCACATTAGCAGCCTAAAATATCTCTTTATTATGTGGAAACACTAGAAAATATCATCTGGAAGTATTTCAGAAATATTGAGACTAGATAATTGAATTTACTTTATTGATGGCTAATACTTTAGTAAATGTAGAAACATAATAAGAATGACAGAGAATAATCACAAGTACATCACCACTTTACTAGATTGTATGTCTATAAAATAGATTATAAGAAACGATAAAGGAATGTAGATACATTAAGAGTTAAAGTTATTGAGTCTGTGCTGAAACATTGTATTGGTCAAGAATAAAGAAACCATTTAGTAAATCCAGAAAACTGGTCACCAGTGGCTTACACTTCTAACCCTAGTTACCCAGAATTCTGAGATCTGGAAGAGTGAAATCTGAAGCTCACATGGGCAGAAATATTTTCAAGACTACCCCTCCAATGAAGTAGCAAAATGCTGGGCTGGGGCATGGTTCAAGTGGTAAGGTACCAGCCCAAATAAGTAAGCCAAATAAGATTGAGTTCTCTGAGTCCAAACCTCGCTATAAGCAAAAAGAAAATAAAGGAGAATACAAATAAATATTTTTATTTAAATAAGGAAATTGATCAAGGGAAACAATTTCTTGTTTCTTGTGAAAAAATATATCTCCTCAGTATACGTATTTTCATTCATCAGTCTTTTAGGTAACTGGTGATTTTGATAACAAAGACAAAATTTTTTACTGAGGATAATCTCCTACAGTGTCCTGTATAGATAAGTAATTGTCCATTGTCTTCTCTCTGATCCCATAATCTGGTAAACAAATTTATATCTCATTTAACAGTTTCATCTAAACTGACAAATTTCTCTTATTTCACATGCATCTCAGAGTACCTCTTTCAACTTTTACAAAAGTTACGATCTTACCCTGTTAAACTTACCTAAAACTTCACTGTAAAAGCGATTCCACTTCTTTGACTCAAATGTCTCAAACCAAAAGTCAAAATAAAGCATGCATATCATGTTTTCTACCCTCTCCATGAAAGTCATCTGACCACTTAATCCTGACAGAATGACAGGCACATAAGAGGGAGGGAATAGAAGCCCTCCACTATACTTTTCTGTTGTGTAGCCAGGATAGAAGCGCAGAGCATACACGAAAGGAATCTCCAATAGCTCAGCCAGAAGCTCCCCACAAGGACCAACGGCATCTGCAACCACAACATCAAATCTGGCTTTTCGTAGCCTTGCTATAAGTTCCTTGTTCAGAGCTGCTTCTTTACAAATATTTAGCCAAATATCAGAAAATGTGATAAATAGATTCTGCAGTAATGGTGAATATGCCAAACATGTTGTTCTTGGCAATTCATATGTCCACAAAGAGGTGAATCTTGTGGAAACTGTGATTAATTCATCAGTTTTGTAAGCCGATGGGAAAGTTTCAAATTTAATGCTGGATTCTTGATTGCTATCAACAAAAATAGCAGATGATGGTCTCACAACTGTGACTTGATGACCCTTCACGATAAGTTCGTCCAGTATTACCTTCATATTCATCCAGTGGCTATATTCCATGGGCCACACCAGTACATTCCCACAGCTTCCAGAGTTAAAGTAATAACTCAGCTGTAATAGTAGTAGAACTGAAATCCATTTCCAAGCCATCCTGACTAAAGCAGAGTGACCTTCAAACTGTGTTCACCTCTGACAATTTCTTGTTCTTACATAAAAATAAAAAATTGATCATGAAGTTAAAATATAACTTGGGTTGATCAAAGCAAATATGTAAAATGACCAATTGGGGCATGTGGACTGAATGGCAGATATATAAAAGAAATTTAATTTCCTGATGATTTGACCGGTAAATTCAGCATCCCTTTTGTAATTAAATACTTTCAGGCAACTAGGAGTCTATGACCTGTTTGTGTAAGTCACTTGTTTTATGTAAGCCATTTTATAATTATGCAAAAAATTTTGGCAGCTGAGTGATGACTTGGTTTTACATCCTCTTTGACACAGAAGAAACATAGTAATTTCATAATTGCTCAACATTTTTCAGATATCATGATTCAAGAGTTTTTGATAGTAACTGTTGTGAAATATAATTCACATTCATCCAATTCAGTTTAAAGTTTGGCATCAGTGCTTTCTAGTATATTTCTAAAGGCCTGTAATCACCTCCACTATCAGTTTTCAAGTACTCTGATCAACAGTAAAGTATTCTAATAAAGAGTCATAAAAATGCCCCCAAGATATCAAAAAGATGGCTGATTCAAGGTGTTTGGAATTCTTCACTCCAAATGAAGGACAAAATTATCTAGAAACAACACATTCCCCAGGAGTATATGAGGCAGAGTGACACAGGGATGATTTTGAGACAGTTATTGCAGAATACAGAGATAAAACATGGTTTACATACAAGGAGTCAAATATATAGCACACCTACATAAAGACTCTAAGTATAGTTATCTATTATATCTAAATGTGTATTTCAGATCTAGCTTCCACAAAGGAGTGAAAACATGCACTGTTGTAGTTTCTGAGCTTGGGTTATATCACTTAACATGATTTGTTCTGGGTCCATCCTTTTCCATGGAAATGTCATCATGTTATTTTTTCTAATTGCTGTGCAAAATTCCATTGTGTATATGTGCCAATCTAACTGAGTGTAGGGAGCCCTGCAGGGAGTCTCTCTGCATGATAAGCTTGACTATCTGGCTGGAACATCTCTCCAGGCTATTTACAGAATCTGGTCTTTGCATCCTGCCCCAAACAAAGACCAGGTAGCTGCTATTGACCACCTTTTCACATTGCCCTAAGCAAGCATCCTGCAGCTGCTACGCCCAATGAAAAAGCTTCCTTATTCTAAGCATATAAATACCCCTGTGTGAAAAATAAAATTTGGCAGCTTGATCAGAATCCTTGTCTTGCTGTCCTTCTTCGTGTCTCTTGTCCCTTCATTCCTTCTCGCTTAGGTTCATTGCCCTGGTTGAAGTCCTGCGGGTCGGGACAACTGAGGTGAGACAGAAAATCTGAGTTGTTTTGCTTTCCGTTTCCTTTATGTTTAGGGATGATGAACATTTCCTCTTGTATACTAAGAAATGTTTCAACCTTTAAAAATAGAAACCATTACTTCTACATAATATAATGTACTTTGCAAGATATTAAATACATTGGAGAAAAGTTATAACTAAGGCAAATTCAATTAAAACTCCATTGAAGCTGAGCACTAATGGCTCACTTATGTAGTCTTTTCTCTTTGGGTCGTGGACATCACAAGGATCATGGTGCATAGGCAGAAAAGTTCATATCATAGTTCACATGGAGCAGAAAAGTTCAAATCACAGTTCACAAAGGTCAGAAAAGTTCACAAAACAACATCAACAGCCAAATATGGGTATATTCACCTGTCATCTCACCTCCTAGAAATCCATAGAGAAGTCCATCATAGTTCAGGCTGACACAGGAAAAAAGTAAGAACCTACTTCAGACTCCTACTCTGTATTGTGAAGTGAACATGAACACTAAAGGACTGTCACAAGCTTACTTGTGTGTTGCTTTCTAATAATGTGCTTAGAACAGGGATACATTCTAAATGTTAACCTTAGATTCTTTAAGTAAGAGGCTGATTCAGAGTAATTACACAAATCAGTGATTTCTATTTCCAAAAGAGAATTTTTGCAACTGATAGTAAGGTTTATTTTGAGCAAATTTTTGAGAAATTTCTAGAAGTTACATTAGGAACATATTAACCATTGAACAAATAACATTTTGATCTCTGAATTGCTTGTTTCACATTCTCCCTAATTGCAAAGGCTTATATCACTGTAGTTTTTATGTTTTTGTGTCTCATTTAAGAAACCCTTACAGTGAATGGCAAGTTTCCTGTACAGATTCTTAAAGATAAACAATAAATCTTATAAGACAAAAACTTAAGGGTCAGACATGGATGGTAGCTGAAGCTTATAATTCAGCAATGGATGAAACTGGTGTAGGAAGATTTTGATTTTGAGGTCAGATCATACAAATTGACTGAGAGTCTTGAAAGCAAACAGGAACATAAGGGCTGTGTATGAAGCTTAATAAACAATCGTGCTTGCCTGGCAAGCATGTAGGCTGTTTTCTATTACCACTAATGAAAAAGAAAGAAAACAGACACTCTGTATGCAGTACACAGAAATACTATGTCAAAGGATGATTCAAATGAACATGGAAAGTGTAGTTAACCAAAGCAAGTGAAAATAAATTTAAACAGATATAAATTCAAAATAATGATACTCTCTCCCCTTTATTTTACATTTTCAGTATAAATTTCTATCATTTAAAAATGTTTCAGACAATGAGAAAATATTCTAATCACATTAATAGCTTTGATTTACTTTATCTTCTACTCTCTCTGAAATGGCTCCAGCAGTAATACAGAGGATGAAATTGACCAAAGTACAAAATATGCATGCATAGAAATACCAAGTGAAAACTTTTGTATGGCCAATATAGGTTAATTTTATAACCTTGAAAAAGAAATGACTATCATGGTTTTTATGAGTTCAAGAAAGTGCAATAATAATAATATATTAGTTAAATTAATGCTTATCTGATCAAATGTAGATATTAAGTTATTATTTTATATTGATACACATAGATACACATTCTTCTCAATATTACTTGCTCTGTAAAGCTGGTATAAATTAACCCAGGGCCTCCAACATGCTAGGTCATTTCACTGCCACTTATCTACACACATTCCTGACTATATATTCTTGGTCACAGTCAAATTAACTGATGACCTTAAGCTTTTTCTTTTAGATCTGAAATGCGGACTCAAACTTGGAACCTGACACTTTTACTCATTAGCAAGCACTTTACCAGCTGAGCCATGGTAATTAACTAGAAAACAGTACAAGTAGACCCACATTTTAAGTTTGCATTTACTTCTGGTATAAAAATTAAACTTCAGATTATAAAGATTAACTACTTTAAGAGTTAGTGATTTTGATGAAACAACACAAGGATATCAAATAGTACAACCAGTGATAATTGTCATAAAATTACTGCATTTTATGAGTTTTTTTACAGTTTTTAATTGTCAAGGTGATGTACAGAGTTACATACGGCAGTGAGTACATTTCTTGTCTAACTTGTTACCCCTCCTTCATTTTTCTCTCTCTTTCCTTTTCCCCAATCTCCCCCCAAGTTGTACAGATCATTTCCAACATATTGTTTTGTGAGTATTGCTGTTGCATAGGTTCCCCTTTTTACCTCTTTTCTTAAGGTTATGATATTACTAACAGTGCCATCAGTTAATAACTGGACCTCCAAAACAGACTTTAGAAGGACATTTAAGATGCAAACTATAGTGGTTTTCCTACTGTAGACAAATGTATGGAAGGCAACAATTTTCTGTTGAAGTTCTCATGAAGCAGCCAGGGGGCTTCGCATATCCTGATGTGACCCAGGAAGAGACATTCTCACAATGCACAGCTTACTTGATAAGGCCTTCAAAGTAAACTTTGGCCCTTCTCACTCATTTTCAGCCCCAGGATGAAGCTGAGTAGCTCAATAAATGCACTTTAGATGCATTGGAAGCAAACATTTTATCTCTTGAGCACAGACAGTTGCTGTAGCATTGCTCCAAAGCAACCCACAGATATTCAAGGTGCTCCTTCCTATTTTCTGATCTACTGCTTTACAGAAGAAACATCTGAAAGCCAAGCCATCATTGAATAACTTGCTTTGTAAATATGACTTTAACTGAATTGCTACTTTTAAAAAATAATAATCTTCTGACTTGGTCTTTTGAATCCATGACAACAATGACTATTACTCTGACTAGCTTTTTTTTCTTTTTGTTCTTCTTCTATTTTTGTTTTTCTTTTATTTTTAATTGTTAAAATACTGTACAGAGGGGTTACAATTACATGGGCAAGATAATGAGTACATTTCTTATCAAGCATTGTGGCCTCCTCCTTTGTTTCCCCTTCTCATCCCTTCCCATCCTTTTTCCCTCCCCCTTCCCCTCTCTCCCAATCCTCCTCCCCCTCCCATTCCCTGTCCCCCCTGGAACCCTGAGGAGCTTTACCTATGATAAATACATCTCAGCTGGCAATGTAATCTCCTGTCCCTACAGAAGAAGCCCCTGAGACACTCAGAGCTCATGGATATTGCCTACAAATGAAGATCTGTGTTGATACTACACCCAAACACATATTTGACATAAAGGCTAAGGCATTCATTGTTGCCAGTTCCCTAAGACTTATTATAACAACAAAGTATTTTACTCCGGAAACCATCCTATATGACCGGTACACAACTGATCTGTCACATGCACAAATATCAATGTGGAACACAAGATATATGGAAAAAAGAAGATACTGTGATAATTCAAAGGGAACACAGTAACTTCTTGGAAAAAATTGCATGTTTTTTATTGTAAAATACTGTACAAAGTGGTTACAGTTACATGAGCAAGGTAATGAGTACATGTCCTATTGAGCATTGTTGTCTCCTCCTTTGTTTCTCCCCTACCATCCCTTCCCTCCCACCTCCTTGGAATTTTTTTTTAAGAAACCATTAAAAATTATATTATTTTGAAGATGCTGTACAGAGGGGTTAAAGTGACTTGATATGGAAATGAGTCCATTACTTGTCGATCATTGTTACCCCTTCCCTTCCTTAATGAAATTAATTATTGCCTAAAAGGGAATTTCAATCAATAATTGTAAAGGCACTCAATAAGATACAAATGCTTGGAAGGCTCAGTGAACCTTTAATAAATTTGGACAAAATTGATCCTACCCAAAGCATGTCAGCAAATGGTCATAAAAATCAAAAACTAGCAGAATTATAAAAACAACCGAATATTTCAAGATACCTATTAAGGAATTGCTTT